AATTTATAATGGAACAGTAGGATCAACCATTAGCGTGCCCTATGAGGGCCCGTTACACAACCACGTGAGATAGCCTGCAAGGCAGATGCGAGGAACGAACTAAAATCAAATACTGGTAACTAGCGGCTTGCTCTCACTAGCGTCCTAGGTCTGCGCTTAGCGTTGATTTGACAAAGGCTAAATGCTACCTAGGTAAGAATTCTTCCAATAAATTCGGTTCTAGGGCTGCAGGGGTTTGTTTATCCAACTTAGACATGCCCCTATATCAAACTAAAGGAATAGATGCCACTAGATGATTAATATTGATAATTCCTAACGTCCACGGGCTTGTTCAACTGGCTGTATGAGGTTCGGAGATGCCGAGCACTATACACGTGCCTTCCTACTTGGTTAATCAGTCGACTGCTAGTGACTGTGATGTAGAGCTATCCATGGATCCTCCAGGGCTGAGACGACAATCCCTGTCTCCACAGTGTTTGAAGACAAGTTCGCAGTAAGGAACAGATACAGAGTGCAAAGCAGCTGAAACATCAGGGCAAACCTCCAAAACGGGTCACTTTTCTAGAAGGCAGCTAATGTATGAAGTGTGCAAAGGGGGACGTGCAGGGCGGAATTCCAGACCGAGCAGCCAATTAGCACCAAAAAAGCACGAAATAAGCAAAAAAAGTCATCTGGCTTCATTGGCCGGCATCATGAGATGTTCAGTGCAGCCCGAGATCATCCATGTATCCACCCCAAATTATACCACTGAGCCAAAAGTAGACAAGGTAGAAAAAAAAACAAAGGGGAATATTAGGCGAAATCAGTCTCTAGGGTGCATGTCATACGCAAGGCACAGCTGGGCACCTTGGGTGGGTACAAAAGTTTTTCAGATACATTCCCGAGTATCCTAATGTAGGTGGGTGGCCCGAGACATAAAACCACGCGTGAGTTGACCTCTTTTTGCTGACAATTGACCACGCGAAACGCGAGCACGTGCGTACCATCATCAAATCCAGCCTTGGAGGACCAACCATAGCAGAAGCGTACTTGGCGGCGCCTCGCCGGTACGCCTATATTTGCTTGACTGGCTTGGAATTGCTTGAAGTTGCTTGTGCGGATGCGAGGAGGAAAAAAAGCAAGCTTTAGCCAAGATTCTGGAAGGTTATGATGTAGATGTGCTCGCATGTATCGATTTCAGACGCGTTGTTGGTCCAACATGGTCGATAGCACCCATTTTTAATTTCATTTTGAAGCTGATTTCGCCGAACAACTCGTGTCCATGATACTCTAGTTCATGGCATCCATTTGATTCCATCGGATATATCGGAATGTAGGACAGCAGTGACACGCAACGCGATAACACGTGTTGAAGGTAGGTTCAGATTCGAGGGAAGGTGCGAAGAATGGAGTTGCACATGGTCAAGTGCTGCATGCTAATTGGTCAGAGATCATGCATGGAAGATGCCGGGGTTGCCAACTAGCGTGGAACTGCCTTGGCCACTACGTCAATGTTAAATGGCCCAGATGCGGCCCAGCACTGGTCCAGAAGGGATTTTTTGGGTGAGAAATTTCTTGCCTGTTGTAGAAATTGGACGATTGCCAGAGATAGTCTGCACGTGTGTCAAAGCGTAAATGATAGTTCCCTTGGATCCAAAATGACCTCCGGCTCCGGGACTAGCTGTTTGGATAAGGCGTAAGGCGGTTGCCACTTTGCCCGAGGGCACTACATTGGCCTTGGCGTGAGCTTTAGCCAAGAATTGACGTTTGGGTCTATACATAAAACATGCACGTTCCAGACGCTCCATAACTGCCGCAGAGCAAGATGAGATTATACGGAGTAGATACTCCGTCCATATAAGTTGTAGGAGTAACTATTGTTGAACATCGAACTCAAACGGTGAACAAAATTCATCGCCCCCGCGAAAGTTTGGGACGATCTGCCACGAACCGCAGGCGGTGGCGATCAAAATTGGTATTCTGCCCCCACGTGCATCTTTGATTGGTTGCCGGTCGCTCCATGTCAGACCCACCCGACCCACTAAAAGTAGAAAATCTGTTTCCGGAACCAAAACCAGTAAGAGTACGGAGTAGGCCCATAACCGTACCGAGACAGGGCCCCAGAGGGCCCTGACCCCAAGATAGAGTGGTTCTTGCCTTTTTGACTTTCTATAATTTTCTTTTTTTTTTTTGGTCAATTTTTTTTTCTGAGTTCAGGTGGAGACGCCACTAGTTGTGCCGTTGCATGTCTTCCACGCTCCGGTTCCCTCACTTCTCACTTCTTCTTCTTCCACCTCCTAGCTTTCTCGTACTTAATAAGTCAATCGCCACTTTCCTGGGTTGAAGTTAACTCACCTTCCCCAACCATTGTGGTCACTTCGACTCTTCCCTCACCAGGAATTGAATCTGTTCCCTATCAAATTCCTTGCTCACACGACACGTTTCAGTGAATACTTTTACTATGACCGACTTTGGTCCTCGTGCCCCTCATGGGCCCGATATGTCAGGAGACCATAACCCGCTGGAGGATATGGACATCCACGAGAAGGGTGCTTTCGATTCCCTCATTCGCCCCGATGACAGCTACACCCCCGAGGGCATCTACTGGGCCGATCTCCCGCTGTGGAAGAAGATCACCTTCGTCACCTCCTACAACAACATGGAGGCAAAGCGAGAGCTGAAGGAAATCTGGGCTATGATCAAGGTGGATCCTCTCTCGCCCGTCTCTTATTACTTCCGCAACATGGTCCTCCCTGGTGCCGGTCTCGGTCTGGAAGGTTACGTGCTTTTCTCTATCGGCAACATCAAGCCTCTCTTCCAAGCAGCCTTCCCTGCTTGCTGGAAACACGCCAAAATTTGCAACAAGCAGTGGATCAACGCCATTGACTACCTCGAGATCATCGGTATTATTGTGGGTCAGATTCTGGTTGGAATCTTGGGTGACTGGTAAGCTGCAATTCTACCGTCCGTGGAAATGAGATTATACTGACGAGGGACTAGGATTGGCCGTCGATGGGGTTTGATCCAGGATGCCGTTATCATGCTTCTTGGTCTTGTCATGTTGACTGCCGCCTGGGGTGTGACCCAGAATGGCTGGATCATCTGTTACGCGTGGTGTCTCTTCATCTACGGTATCGGTGTTGGTGGTGAGTACCCTATGACTGCCACCAGTGGTATGGAAAACGCCGTCGGTTCTGGTAAGGTCTCCACCAAAGAAGATCGCCTGCACCGTGGCCGCAAGGTCACTTCCGCCTTCCTTATGCAGGGCTGGGGCCAGTTCTTCAATCAGGTTCTTCTGATTATTCTTCTGCTTTGCTTCCACCACGGTAGCGGTAACAACCCTTATTCCGAGGTCGCTGTTCAGTGGACCTACCGAGTTTCCTTCGCGATTCCTGCTGTCGGTACTTTGTGGCTTGTTTACTACCGTGCCTACCACATGAAGGCTGCTAGCAAGCAACTCACCGCTGCCAAGAAGAAGGCTTCCGTTACTGGTTACGATGCCCAGTCCCTGAAGCTGACCTTCAAGTACTTCGGATTCCGGATTTTCGCAACTGCTGGCGGCTGGTTCGCCAACGATGTTTTCTTCTACGGCAACAAGCTCTTCCAAAGCGAGTTCATCAAAGTCATTAGTCCCGCATCCAGCTCTGTCATGCCCACCTGGCTGTGGAACTTGGTCAATGTCGGTGTCTCTCTGTGCGGATACTACATGGCCTCTTTCCTGATCGACAACAAGCTGTACGGTCGCAAGTGGATGCAGATCGTTGGTTTCATGCTCTGCTTCGTTCTGTTTGTCGTCCCTGCTTTCCACTTCGACTACTACCGCCGACCCGAGAACATCAAGGCTTTCCAGGCCATGTACTTCCTGAGCTCTTTCTTCAACCAGTTCGGTCCCAACTCGGTCTCCTTCCTGGTCGCTGCTGAGGTTTTCCCCACTCCCATTCGCGCTTCCGCTCACGGCATGTCCGCTGCTTGGGGCAAGGCCGGTGCCCTTCTCGCCGCCGTCCTGTACAACTACATCGATACCCAGACCAAGTTCTACGTTGTGCCTTGGTTTGGTCTGGCTGGTGCCATCATCACTGCGCTCTTCCTTCCCGACACCACTGGTCTGGACTTGAAGGAGCAGGAGCGCCGCTGGCAATATCTCCGTCAGGGTCGCGAGGAAGAGTACCACGGTCCTGCCGTGCACCCCAAGCACCTGTCTTGGTACGAGCGCTACGTCCTGCGTAAGTCCCGCTACTACAATGCCGAACTCGACTACCAACAGAAGGTCGAGGAATACCGCATCGAGTGGGAGAACGCTATGGCCGCCAAGTCCGCCGAGAAGCATGCTGCGGATGCTGTTGACACCGATGACTCCCTTCTCGAGGGTCATGTGCACACCTACTTCCACCGCACCAGCCCTATGTTCAAGGGCATGGAGAAGAATGTGTCTTCCAAGCAGGATACCTTCACCCTGCCTCCGGCTGCGGAGAGCGAGTCTGAGGATGCTTCCAACAATGAGAAGCGCTAAACGGTCACTTTTGCTCGGTCCTCAGGTTATTGCCTGTGATGCGACCATGAAACCATGTCTTTTTTAAGCTAGCTACGAATAATTCCCCCTTTTCAATTTTTCAATCTCTTTTCATAAAACCTGTCATGCACATATACACCAAGTTGCTTTTTGGAACCCATTTTGTGCTCGCAGTATGAACTAGCTTGCATGACTTTTGTTTGACACTTGGAGCGGTCCCCTTGATTAATTAGATGTTGATACCACTTTCTTGGACATTGCTATACAAATGATTCTTGCAAACTTTTCATGAAATTGCAGACTTGTAGTCAATTTTTTTTTTAGAATTGTTGGAATACACAGACTAGAGTTTGCAGCTCTGGCCTGAGGAAGAAAAGCTGACTAACTCCACTTTTTCCACCTGTCTGGATATCGATGTATATGAACCGCACACTTGGTCCAATCTAACGATACCACAATATCAAAGCAGAAGAAGAGCGAAACAAGAATTTTTTTTTTTTGAAAACAAATCATGAGACTCTTCGCCTTCGGCTCAAACGGATCGGGCCAACTAGGTATCGACCACGGAGAAGACGTCTCCATACCGACGCAATGTCTCTTCGAGCAGCCAGAGCCATCTCAAGGATCCCAGAGACACACCGTTCTAAACACCAACAACGCGGTTGACTCTGAAATCATGACAATCGCAGCAGGCGGAAACCACACTCTCCTTTTAACCACCAGCGGCTCCATCTACGCCGCCGGCTGCAATTCAGACGGACGGTGCGGGCCTCACAGGACAAACAAAAATCCAAAAGAGCCCGAGTCCGACATCAAGGGAGGAAACATCCTGCGCTTTCGTCGGGTGATTCTGTCAGATGCTGTCTCCAACACAGAGGTATCCCAGTTCAAACATGTCTCTGCGACGTGGGAGGGCACGATTGCTGTGGCTTCTGTTCCACGAATCAGCGGCAATGACGTCGTTCATGGACACGCTCCTGAAACAGAAGATCGAGTCTTCGTGCTTGGCTCCTCGCCTAAAGGCGAACTGGGTCTAGGACTGGACACCCCCGCCCCCGTGCCGGGTACGTGTATACCTTCCTTCCCGCCAGCGGGGTTGAGGATCACAGCGCTGGCGAGCGGGGTGGCGCATTCAGTTACCGTGCTCTCGAATGGGGATGTCTGTGGCTGGGGCGGGGCGCGGAAGGGTCAACTTGGGAAAGAGAATCGAGGGGCTAGGATTGCTTACTCTCCTGTTCGGATTTGTGTGCCGTTTTTTGCGGAGGCTGTTGCTTGCGGGAGGGAGTTTACGGTTGTTTCGGGGCAAGGAAGGTTTGTTGTTCTTGGGGATGGGGGGAATCGGTGGGGTATATTGGGTGTGCCAGAGAGTTTGTCTTTGCGCGCAGAGTCCGATGGTGTTGAGGATGGAGGTCTACATGGAGATGGAGATCATTTACAGGACGACGAGCAATGGGATTGTGGGTGCAGGGGCACTGTTCATTATCGCTATACTGGCATTGCGGCTAGTTGGCATGGGGTTTATGTCCATGCTGCACCTGGGCTGGGACGAGTGGAACCATCGATGCCGAATGCACAGATAGACCCTGCTTCTGATTCGGTCAGTGGTTCGATTGTTGCTTGGGGACGCAATGATCGAGGCCAACTTCCACCGCCAGATCTTCCGACTCCTGTTAAACTCGCTGTTGGTAGTGAGCATGCCATCGCTCTCTTGGGAGATGGTCGAGTGGCGGCGTTTGGATGGGGCGAGCATGGGAATTGTGGACCTGATACAGATTCCCAGGGGAATGTGGCGGGTACATTTACTGTGATTTCGCTTCCTGAAGCTGTGGGCGCGGATAGGAAGGTTGTCGGGGTTGGAGCGGGGTGTGCGACTAGCTGGATGATTATAACATGATCACCTCTGTGATCAAGGAGTGCCGGGAGTTGCTGACAAAGGTACCGTCCTTGACAGGGGGTGTGCTCAGTCGAAAAGACCATAGTGGCGAACCTATCAACTATCAGCATACGCGTAACAGAGTCTCGCCAGAGCCGGAATTTACATACCTGAGACAAACGCTGTGTAGGCGGAAGACCCATCTCCTCGTCTGTATCCTCGGCATGAGAACCATCCTGTTTCGAGAACGAAGGCTCGGCGTCGCGAATCGATGCTCCGAATGCGTCCTGGGTGTTTGGTTAGCCCACCCAATTTTTGCCACCGTTGAAAAAAAAAAGGATACAATATACCTGTGTTCCCGACGCATCCCATCCAAGAATATCCTGGGGCTCCTCCTCTTCATTCATCTCATCCCACTGCCGGTCATCATCAGCAGGTACGAAAAGGCTATCGAAATCCATTGAAAGGCCAGACGCCGCTGGTCGATCTGCGCTGGCCCTCTGGCTCAGATTCTCCTGCGTGGATGATCCATTGAGAGGACGGATCGATCTGCTTCGCGGTGGCGGCGGGGGCATCTGCGTACTTGGTGTCACCGCTGGGCGAGTATCGCGCGGCCTGGCTGTTGAGATTGGGATAGGCGTGGGCGTTTGTCGTGGGATTGTCGCTCGTGATGATGTGGGGACGTCATCGCTATCTGCCTGGCCGCGGGTCATGACTGTGAATTCTGCGTTGATGCCTTCGAATCGGTATTCGAGTTGCAGAGGCTTGCAGGGTCGAGTATACCGTGCTGTTACGGTGGCATTTGCCGTTTCGGCATGCGAAACGACGGCTTTGAAGTCTTTTAGGTTGATCGCGACGTGCATGTTCTCTTCGACCAAGTATTTTTGGAAATCGCGCTTGTCTGCTGCTACGGATGTATGGACTGGGTGTTTAAGTACTTCTGGTTGGGTGTTGGTCAAGGAAACTCTTAAGACTTGATGAAGGAGAACGCGACATACCTTTGCCCTCCATGATCTTTGTTGTGAAGCTTGTGAACACCGCTCTGCCAGAATCAGAGTACATGTCCAGCTGCTCTGCAGATAAGCTGAAATGCTCAATGAGTTGCCTGAGAAACCGTGGATCAGCAGTCCACATGCTGGTAGCTTTGGATTTGTCGAAAACGGCATGCTGAATTGCCGCCGGTTCGTAGGTCAGCTTGTATGACTTGATCACGCCTAGATAGGGGGTCAAAGATATACAATTTAAGCTAGGAAACACAGGCCTATGCAGGGGGTGTCTTACCTAGTCCGCATATCATCTTCACTGTTAGTCGACACTCGGTTTGCTGCATATCTTCATGCAACTCCATCTCACAGCGTTCAACGGCTGTGTCCTTATTTTTGTCAATTCTTCCGCGGAATATGGAGAGAAGTGCCTAGATTCGATATCAGCATTAAGCGAGGAAGATGGTCATCCGTAAAATGCTGTAGGATACAAATCCCAAAGGGGGAAAGTCTATATCCTCACTTTGATATAGATCTGGCAGAAGAACCGGTCCAGCGAAACACTGCCACTCCTTCCACCACTGCTGGAGTTGAAAGAATACGCCTCAAAGAAAATCCCCTTCTCGAACGCGAAGGAAGCAAACCCTGTCTTGGTGGAATTGAGCGCACTGAAGCGGAGCTGGGGTATAGTTAGCTCGAACATTTCATTTGCTGACTTCCAGGATATGAACCAAACCTATCTACTCAAAGGTACGATAACTTACGATGTCAGGCTCTGCTTCGATAGCGACGGTTTCGCTGAACTTGGATAGGCATATCAAGGCGTCGTGGAGCCGGACTAAGGCCGGCGGGCCTAGAGACAAGGAGAGCGAGATCATGGCTGCGTTGGTGCTTTTCGGCCTCTTTATGAGTGTCAAATAGATTCAAATATCGTCTTGGCCAGTCCAAGTCTATTTTCCTATCTCATTGAGCTTATGGCGCGCTATTGGGTGTTCGAGATTGGATCGAAGAAGACGCGGACCATTCCACGAGATTACATAATCCGGCCTCCGGTCCACGGGCCCTGGAGTTGGGAATAGCGGCACCTTCGTACAATGGATTGTTCTTCTGATTTCAGAATACAGTTAAATCCATATGTGATGAACTGATTGACACGCGGTGAGAAATTCGTTCTGTTCAGGTATTCGTAAAAGTCAGGTCCCACATCTACTACCTGTCGTATGTAGGATGGAGCATTTCTGGGCCACATACAAATTCAAACTCTAACAAAGTGCCTAATATCACTTCTGCTGTTACATCCCTAAATTCCTCACTTTGACTCTGTACTAGCCTATCATGTCTATTCAGCGCACTTGTGTGAACCAGGTTGAATTCGCCTTTCCGCAGAGTCAGGTGACCCTCTCGTCAAGGTACTTAATCGGTCAATGGAAAATGGAAAATCACGTGAAAGAGCCTCAAGACAGCGAATTTTGTATGGGAGGAATGATAAACTCACGAGGTTTGTAGCGACGAGGAAAAACTCGGAATTCCGATGGCGGATTAAATGAAGCACAGGTGGTGTTAAAATCGGGTCTTTCTTCCATCCACATTCGTTATAAATAGGTTTAACGACCCTCCCTATGGAGTCCTTGAGAGTCCCATCGTATTCGAGAATTCAAGTTAGAGCCAAAAGTAGGTTTAACCTAGTGAGAACACAAAAACACCCACGGTGACGAGAATTGTCAGATTTTCATATCTAAATACCGGTATCTTTCGATCGTAGATGGTGATGTTGATCATATCTGAATTGCCAATTCAGATGTTGTATCTAATTCCCAGCCATCGGAGAACGCTAGATGGTCTCCAGGGCTATCACAACCGTAACTTGCTTGGTAGTATATGTTGTACTCCGTATCTGCATTGCACAAAGAGATTGGGATCATTGGATATTAAGGTAGTATTACTAGGAGAAGATGGCGTACGCTAGTGGATACTAGCCACATACTAGCGTATACTCTTTCGTTCTAGTTAGCTTGTTCTGGGTTTATTCCGTTGATGTTTAATCTACAACATAAGACAAGGCGCACAAAATGGCAAACGGATCATCATATATCATTGAGCTAAATAACTGCCAGCGAGCAGATTTAGTCTGAAAAGATTGGACTCTTTTTGGAGTTCTAATAACCTACAACATACTCCATCGTAGGAACTGTTGAACTGTCCTTTTTTTTTAAAAAAAAAATCTACCACATCATAAATGCACCACCAACGATCGTAAGGGGTCACTTTTTGGCCCACTTCTTATCAACATCGTGTCTCACAAATGCACGCTGGTGACTACCTCTGATTTTCCTAAAGGGCAGTCTAGTTGCGGTCGCTCTCGTCCTTGCATTCATAATTTTCAAGTCTTCAACTCGGAAGCGATCAATTTGTTGCGAAATCGCTAAGCCAAGCAGGAGCAAAAAAAGTAGGTCTGAGCCATCGGACTCTTGACAATCTAATTTAGAATGGGAAACAGAGTGCCTAAATACCCATTTGGGCTTAGAAGTGGTGCCTTGTTGCCTGATAGTTAATTTGCATTAAATTGCATAGAGCGGTGTACCAGGCGTCCAAGAAGCAGAACCAGGCATCAAGGCACAAAAATTGACTTTCCAGGTCTCTATATTGTACACTGCTCCGATAGACTCGAACACTTCGTACTTCAATCGAGATGGTCCACAGGTAGCGAGATCGGATTTTTTGGAAACTCCGCGGACTTTGAACGCCAGTTTCCATCTCCGTATCTCCACGAGAATAGATTGCATGGTAGTAACACAAGAGTAACGGGGAATTGAAATATGCTTGGGAGTGAACTCATCATAGAGGCGCTTGTTCGCGGACATCTGGCGATCGTCCAGCCGGTCTGTGGTAGCGAGAAGGATTAAACCGGTGCACACGGTGAAGACGTGTGTGGCTCGATCGAGCAGCTGACTGATTCGCCGGAATAGCATCGGGTCCCAAACCAACAGGAATATGCCGAGGCCACCTGGGATGAAGCTTCGGCGAGAGGGAGAGGACTCCCCAAAAGCCATTGACATTTTTGATTGAGGTTTCGATGGCTTTGGTTGGGGTGAAGGGGGGGGGGAGTTTGACCAAACCCACTGTGCAGTAGTCACACCAGGGAACATTTGCCCCCAAGGGCCCGAAGAGATCGAAGGCTCGAATTCGTTGTACACGAGAGATAAGATGCGGCGATTGGTGGGCCGTTTGCTTCCTAGTTTGTTGTAATTTAGTCAATTGGATGGAACAGGAACGTCCAAGCGGCTCAGCCCGATCCCTGCTCGTTTCGAGGTTGGTGCTAATCTGTGATATTTAATGCATCAGAATCCATGGATGAAGGAAATAACTGGTAAGGACCATTAGAACTTGTAACTTCTGACATTTTGTGGTATCAGCATGTCGAGCCTCAATGAAGACCTGCATATACAACAGTTTTAGATAAAGTGGTAGATGATGACGAACAAAAAAAGCAAAACAGAGATATTGTAAAGTTTCATCAAAAGAGGGTATATTGCTTGTAAGGTAGCAGATGATAAAAGGATCAGCACCAAAGTGAGGTAAAAATTTGGGGATTGAAACATGTCGGATTACACTATCCAACACCAGGAGCGTTTCCTGTGACGGGTCGTCCCTCGGCGTCATCTCGTGCATTTTCCTCTGCAGTATTCGTGTTGGGAATAGGCTCTCTATTCAAGCCACGGTCTTGCTCCCTATTCCGCTGGGGCAAGGGCTGCGGAAACTGCATTTCTAGAAACCGTCGCCGGCGTCTTCCGCTTCGAACAGCATGCAAGAAATTAACCCCAACCTGGGCGAGGAAAATCGCTAGAAAAGCGCCAATCACAAACCACTGAGAGACAAATGTTTCATTGTTCTGCTCTTGTTGGCCAACGTCGCGAGTTTGATCATGTTCGTTGGGTGTTTGCGAGCTGATCTCAGGGAACGATATTCTGGAGCCACCAAATGAAACCGAGACCGAGAAAGACAACGGTGTCAATGATGTCATTACGTTCGGTGATGTCGAGGTGAGTAGTCCTGATAAGGGCCTAGATAATAGAGGGATGATGCAAAACATGAGGAGAGGGACGGATAGTCATAAGACAGAATAAAGTGATGAGCGAGTAGACCTAATCGAAAACGTTAGAACAGGATCTAACAGTGAGAAGGGATTTTAAGCCTACCAGTCTCGGGCCTCAAGCCGTCTCGCCCATTTTGCCGAAATTTTCAGTCTTTCTCGAACACTTGTAGCGGCGAGTATGGGATATTTCTCTTCTTCGGAGATGGGCAAAATGCTTGCAAACCACCATGGAAAGCGGGCTGCATCTGTGGGGACAGGCCCGTATGCTAGCATGACGCGTGGATGCAGCCAAGGTGCCCCAGATCTTCGCTGATTGCTGATGAACTCTCTCGCCGAAAGGAGCAATTGTTGAGTTGACATTGAGTCCAACGGGAGATCGGATTCATTTCCCTCTGGCAGAGGATTTATAGTGTCTCTTGACGTCTCTATTGACTCAAGCCGCTCCTCCTCAGCGAGTGCGATATCATCTACGCGCTCTGTCTTGGCAACATAATAGCCATCCAGCATCCCCGAGTCGACGATCTTGAACCGCGACACGCCTGTAGCCACCACAAGACTGCGGCCATCTGGAAGAAGCTCGTATCGCTCGATCATCAAGAGCGTTCCATATTGCACGAACGGCACATCATCCAGTTGGCCGGGAAGGACCCGGCCTTGCCGGTTGTACATGACCATGCCGAACTTTCCATTTCCATTTGCAAGAACCCGCCGAATCATAAGTCGGTACCGGGGCTCGAAGATATGAAGGAAAGTCGGCATCGTTGGGAATGATAGCGTGCACACAAAAAGAGGCAAGTTCTTCTCATAATCCGGGCCTATCTCATCTTGGGCGCTGGCCTCCCGCCTGACTGAGATTTGGTCGAGGAAGAAGTAGTCGATCAGTCGCGCCATAGTCTTATTTATAGGCTCTAATTGTATATCATTCGGCATACCTATCTTTCGGCGACAAATAGGGCACAGATCAGTATGGTCCAAGACCCGCGCGACACATTTTTGGCAGAAAGTGTGGCCACAAGGTGTGGTCATCGGATCCAGGACGAGTGCATAGCAAACCTGGCAGTCTAGCTCGGTGCGGAGACTATCTCGTAGTGTTTGAAAGTCAATGAGATCCTGTGCTTCTGTGCTTTCGACTGGAGTTGTAGACTCTCCATAGATAACCTCGGATGCATCAGACGGGAATCGGCCTTCCAGTGCCATGCTATAGATCCCCCGCAGCCATCCGTGCTGCCGCAGTTGTCCACTTCCGTTTTGATTCCTCCCATCGGCCTTCCACTGCAGTAATGGTCTGTCATCCTCGGACCAATCTTTGTTTGCCTCTGACCCCAGAATTTCTTCAAATAGTCCGACTAGCTTCCCGAGCAACACGTCAGCACCACAATCTCCAACACAATGGTCCCCAACACACGCTTTATTTCCTTTCCAAAAGCATGTAAATTCCTGGTCCCTGCCCTCGGCCACGGGGTAAGTAATGCCTATTCGTGGCCGAAAGGCAGGTAAACATTCCCGACAGACCGAATTCCCGCATGGTAACCGAAGCGGACTTCGCAAAGGGCGGGAGCAGTGTTGGCACTGGATCAACTGGATGACGAGATGAGGCAGATATGCTGTATCGCTAGTTGTATGCTCTTCCGAGCTGGAGATATCCGAGGTCTCCATAACGGTTAGAGTCGGGATGGAGTCAGCGTCGGTCAGGTGTGTCGGGGACAGGGACTCGGCTGCATCTTTTGTTACACTGTAGTCCACAAGTAGAAAACGCAGTTAATAGGTAAAAGAGAAAAAACATAAGGATAAGTAATGAAGTTCGGGGTTGAGGGATCCGCTATCAGCAGGTGTCAGGTGCGGGTCAACTTTAGATAATCGGATTTGTGACCATCCATGGATCAACGGTCAAGTGTCGCAGTACATCTTGTACAGCATTCGAACTAGTGTTCATTGAGGTACGTACACATGCGGATACTTATGTCGTTTAGCCATTGAGATGATGATCCGCCCCTTTATGCCGGTATTCGTCACGTGATGGCGTTTCACATATAAATCAGCCTCCCGTGCTCCTTCCATCAATGCTTCCTTCCCAACTGATGCAGGTTTTGTTGGCCGCTATGACCTGCTTGATAAGCTTGAACATCTGCTGTTCTCCTCGGACCAACAACACAAGATTGCTATCACCGGGCTTGGTGGTGTTGGAAAAATATAAGCTACAATGAAAACTGCGCATCGAACGCAAGCGAGGCGACGGGAATGCTCTATTTTTTTTGGATTCCAGTAACAAACGTTAGAACTATTGAACGGACATACCATCAAATTGACCCCAAACTACGAACACTCGGACTAAAAAGACCACCAAGCGGATGCTAAGAAACTAACTTCGGGATTACCTAAACAATAGGAACGTCGGCCAGTGGCTGTTGATGTATATGACAATGCCGATGACATCAACATGTGACTTTACAAAACTACCAGCAAAATATTGAGCGTCAGGGATTAAGAAACCATGTTCCTTGGAACAGTATGAGCAGCTTGCTTTTCACCACGCGTTGAAAGAAGGCTGTCTTTTACCCCAACAAGAACTCCTTGGCTGCACTGTCTGACTATCTATCCCTATTTTCGGAGCGAAAGAGCAATGTGATTGTCTGCTAAGCGAAGATTTTCATGGTAATAGGTGAACTCGCGACATAAATGAATCTAGTGGCCACGACATAGCTTATATCCATCGAGCAAATACAGAGCACCTCATCACTAGCGGCTGAGATTTTGTTGTTCACGGCCTGCATAGAGCCGATAGGAATCTCAAAGTCGCATTTGCTACAAGATCTATCTAAACGGTGACCGACTAGCGTTCCGATTTGCTCTTGCGGTGGCATCTCAAGCTAACGTCCAGATCGGCGAGGCCGTTGAGCTGCCTGCATATTTATGCTAGGATCTGATTACAGAACACCCTGGCTAATGGGCAACATGACCTACTGGCATCCCAGCATGCGCTGGCAATGGCAGATCAGCCGTATCAATACCGATATCACTATCAGTTCAAAAGACAACGGGACTGATTATTCTGCTTCTCCACAAATGTTTCGAATCAAGATAGATCTATAGAAACTCTCATCTGATAGATCAATTAGTATACCTCAACAAGAGTAGTCGGCAGCTTGTGCGGCACTGTCTAATTTTTAATGGTGGTCTTTTTTTTTAAAACACCTCCTCCCCCTTCTCAGTTTTATGGAAAAAGCAAGGGAAAGTGTGAGCCAAGAAGATATGTTTTCTGTGCTAAGTCAGGGAAAATTACTCAAGGGGAGGAGATATAAGGGAAGAACCTGAAAGCTAATAGCACTGAGTTCCTCAGTAGTCGCCATGAACTGCAATAGCCATTTTTCCCATGTCCAAATTACCTTGCAAAGCATACGAAGGGGGAGATTGAAGAGAAAGGAATATGTCGGGTTCGAGGAAAAGTTTGTCTTTAATACTACAGTCGCAAACAACCAGACATGCATTGATCCTTCGGATCATCACCTTCGATTAGAAACCCAACTTCTCCTTTTGAACTTTTCGGGGTTTGGTCGAGTCCAACCTATTCTTTCTACAATATTGCCCGTACGACGACTTGGGTGAAGTGAAGCTCCTAGGCCTATTTCTAGAATCTTGTTAAACATAGCCGCTAGCCCTAAATTTGAAAATTCTGTTCCTCCCAAAGGCTGCTAGAGTATGAGCCCAGCTGACCCTAGCGTGACGGTATCTCCCAAAAAGGATGGGAACTTGTCTCGGAAATCGCGTACATCGAACTACAAAAGTGACCAAATGGCTGTGATCGGTCTCGGTTTATTCAGCCCCGGTTAAGAAGACTCACGTGGCAGGGATTGCTCCCTGTTTTGAGGGTTGTCCCCGTTATTAGACTCGAAAAGGTTGTGACAAGTTAGAACAGTCGGGGTAAGATTGCCTATGATTGAAGCTTTTGTTGCCTATTCGACAGATACTTAGACTAGCTAATTAAATTAGATAACCATACAAAGGATCTACTTTCCCTAGCTTTCTCTCTGTATCTCACAGCACTTTCCCTCGGTTTTCTACTGTGAGAGATCTTTTTCGGTGATCCACAGAGGTTGACACTCATTTGGTCTAAAGATGCCACAGTCATGTACACGAGCCTCTTCGGGGATGAGTGCGGCCTGTGACCTGGTGGCCTCCTGCAATATTGTGGTGGCTGGTAGACAGAGCAGAAGATTGTTGTCGAGAACTTTGTGGGCAAGTGCCTCTGCATTCTCTTGCCTCAGGGCAAGACTATAGCCCTACTCCAGCTTCATTTAAACTTCTGACAAAAGAGCCACGGGGACGCATTTAAAAAAACCCTTATATTGGAGGTGCTAGTCGCAATAGATCCAAAGCCCTTCGCCGCAAGTTTGCATCACGACACCTCAACACGGTCCTGGCGAGAGGGACGCCCACACTCATCTCAAAGGTGAATGGTGATCTAACACCATTTGGACCTGCTGAGGCATCAAGAATCAGCCTAGACTGCTCGACGATAGTAACGAAGTCTACAAAATGGACATCGAAAACGGTTTCCTGTTCCCTTAGGCATCCTGTCACAGTAATCAAAGCAGCAGCATGATATGTGAGCAGGATAGGGTCTGGGTGTGTGGGGACGGAGCTGTTTCTGTGGAAAAGCTTGGTGTATGCTCGATGCCATTCAGCGAGACGGGCTCGGAGCGCTTCTTGTTTTGTGACCATTTCTGGGCTTACAGAAGACTCGGTACCAAATACCCTGAGGTGCAAGTTCGCCTCGCGATCAAAGAGGATGATTTCTGCAGCGAGGGAGTGCATGATGGTTCTTGCAGAATCGATAGATGCGAAGTCAGAGCTCAGGTCTGTTTCTACAAAGGTCAAAAGTTCAATAGGAAACTGAGTCCCTGAAATGGTTAGAGAACTTGTTCCTAGTCGTATGAATAAGGGGACAATGCTGCGTTCCAGCAAATCAGCCTTACTAATGGATACTTCTTCATGGCTGATTTGGACACGGAGGTCAAGTATCAAAGCAATGCCCTGTCGGTAGAGCTCCAAGGCCTTTTCCATATGTCCTTGAATTGTCTCCACGCAGATAAATAGTGCGCAGCTGATGAGTGCAATGTACAGATCTGCGCTGCCTCGCTGGATCTGTGAATAGACGCTAGAGATTGATCGCGAGTACCATGCCAATGCATCGTGCTGAGCATGATTGAGCAAAAATGGCTTTTTTTCGGCGATCCGTCAAACAAATGAAAGTCCACGCACTGCTTCGGATTCTCGTACAATGTGCTAGTTGCAATCTTTGCATCCCACACTGCGGGCACACTGCGGCAGAGCTGTGGAATAACCCCGGTCCAGAAATCTACATTTATTCCACCTGCGAGATGTTGGGACACATGCTGGAAGTAGTATTCAAATGCGCGACACTCTCGTCGTCCTGCATCTTGAGAAAATGACAGTGCATGGCCGGGTGTGAAAGCAGATCGCGTAGAGGGAGCCCAGGGAGATGCCCCTCTGCTCTCATGTTCACACTTCCGTCCGGTGCTTGAGCAACGAAGGCAATTCGGCTTCTCCCCGCCACATTTGACTCTTCGGATTCTGGTCGGCGGTCAGAGCTTTAACTCCGAAAATCGAGATTTGGCTGCCCCTATACGGCGGTTCATATCTCAAGCAAATGGGTGAAGGCATAGAAGCTCGGGTCCTGTTGATGTGCCCATGTGGTTGCAAAGCACGAAACCCGATCTACGACACTCAGCAGGACTTTGACCGCCCTCATAATGCGGCAGCCATCGGGTAACATCTACGCTCAGTTATGACAGATAAAACTAGACAGCCACCTCGACAGGCCAACAAATACCTTGTACCTACCCTGGTAGGCAGATCTATCCTGGTGCTACTCTAGGCTTGGTGGTGTTTTCCAGTCTGCCTGTGGAGTTCATACAGGAGAAGTTGAGCGACTCAGCGTGATCAACAGAAATTCCAGATGGTCACGAAAGGGAAACTATACCAGTCAGGAAATTGCTGATGTATACCTTGGGACATCCCATGTGATAGGATCTAGGCACTGCTTTTTCTGTGCGGGAAATAGATGAGCGAGTTGGCACATATTTGCTGCCCAAGGTCAAAATTATACTGATCTACGCTGGTCAAGAAATCTGATATCTAGGATATTTGGAGGTCACAGATTGAACAAGCGTAAATCGTTGCTCAAAGTACAAAATGCCAAACACCCAATCAGCCGTCTTGCAGGGTATATTCGCAGGACAGGAAGTTCAAATGAAAAGAAATGATCGGGGGCTTATTCTGATTGAGAAGTAGTTGACGAGTCAGATTCCGAGTCAGAATCTTCATCGAGGACGATTCGTCGCATGACACTCTTGTCAAATAAGTCCAAGGCGAAACGTCGAGCTGGGAGTCTGTAATGATGGCTCTCCAGAATGCATAGGGTCTTGCGGAAGAGATGGGCTTGGTGGAATCGCTTGGGTTGTTTGGATTTGAGACTGTAAGGATTGTGAGCAAATGTGAAAAGTGGCAGAGTTAAAAAAAATGAGAGCCTTACTTGTGAAGATCAGCAGCGGCTCGTTTGGAGAGCACCGTGTTGCCCATATCAACGATCAACTTCAAGATCCGTTGATTGACGGCATCAGGGTCGGTGGTGGCTTCCTTGAGTTTTTCCTGGGGGGTTCGCTTCGACCTGTAATCAAAGCCAGGGAAGGAAATCTAGATGAATGAGCATAATGAGATAAACGCGAAGGGACAGACGACACTAACCAGGAACAATTTTCGGAAATCGGTGGGGAGACAAAGTCCCAGTGAGTCTCCCTTTTGGTCAACACCGGAATCCCAGCCCAAATCCCGCAGGGCTTGGAGTCCGTGTCGACTGCGAGAGATCAAGCCCAAAACAAAGAAAGCAGTGCCTCGCATAGTGAGAACACCTGCACTGGTTGCTATCTGCACGATCCGTTGGATGATCTCGGTGTCTAAGAATGGTGCGCCAAGCTCCATTGAGCCGACATTGCCAACAGCCCAAAGACATCCTTTGGCTTTGAGAAGCATTTCGTTGTCTTCTTCATCCAGCCTGAAATCACGAATTGTCCAAGCAAACTCATTGAAATGACCAGACTGTTCGAGCAGCCTACACCCCTCGGCCGTCCGTGCAAGTTCTCGGTAGAAATGCGGTGGCACCAACCCAATATCCCGAAGGTCCACCAGATCCTCGGGGACAAGGCTGGCACGTTGCGGTTGCTCGACGTAAGCTCGGGAAAGAGCAGCCTCTACAAGACCAACATAGCTATCGTTGCGGCCAAGGAACCAGTCATCCATCTCTTGAGTGATGTAATCAAGACCATCTAGATAGTGGTATCCCACGGAAGTCGACAGGAACCGAAGAAGTAGGGGTGCACCGATTTCGCCCAGATGATCGAGAGAGGGTCGACATTTGACCACGAACTCGAGGTAATCCCGTTGATTGCATGCTTCTTCAAGGATTTTGACAGCAACCTGGCAGACCGTGACCTCGGGGTCGTACAGTTGAGTGACAAGAAGTTTGACTACCCATTCTGCATTGGCAATCGCCACATGAGGCGAGAGAGCTACATCCCCAACGGCGTATTTACGCAGGAGTCTCGTTGCAAAGATTCGGATTTCCTTGGAGCCAATTGTCAGGGCCTTGGAAAGCATGACCCGGAGATGACTTTCGCGGCTGTAGTCCATGTTCCCTAACAAAGTCTGGATGAGATCATTCCGATCTCGCAACTCAATGATGTGGTAAAACATGTTGAGCATGTGCCATCGTTCCATCATAAGCAGTCCGTTGGCATCGCCACTCAATGATCCTAGCATCGCAAAGTAGCCCCCACTTAGAGTATTCGCCATCTGGTCTTTGGAGAAAAGAGGGGACGCAGATGTGAGCCCACTCATGCGGTCCAGCTGGGCCAGACATTCTGCAACCTGACGAAGGAATTTGTTCTCGGCCAAATATTTGGTACCCTCCGGGGTTGTAACGAGAGTACGCATGAGAACACAGCCGGTTCGAACATATCGTTGGTTTGCCTTTGTGTTTGGAACCAGGGCGAAGCGATATTTGAAAGGCCGGTAGAAACCAATAAGACGTTTGATGAACTTGGAGCCTTTGATTGCCTCGTCCATTCTTTTTGGATTTGTGAGAGGACCCTCTACTAGGCGGTGGATAATGTCCCATTTCCACTTATTGAAGTTGACGGTGTTCAGGACATGAGTCTCCAGGATGGCATTGCGGAACTGGGTTTCGTCCATGGAAGGACTCATCTTGTCTTTCCCTTGCTCAATGGGAAGCAGAGAACCAGATAAATCAGTCTCCATATTGTATCGGCCCTGTCCACTAGGATATCCACCAGAACGTGCCAATGTCCGATTGATACTATCGATTTGGAAGATAGTTGCGGTTGAAAGGTCGTGGTTCTCGGTTTCAAAGTCGACTGCGGATGGGATTAGGTGTGGAAGTACTTGAAGTTGTGCGCTGACGGCTTGGGGTAAGGAATGATGGGCGAGCTTGAGAACCTCTGTTAATAGCAGGGTTGCTTTGCGTCTGAGGGAGAGATCTGCTTCGTCCTCAATGACGTCGGAAAGAACCTGCACTTGGTTAGCTCTTGCACTGAGCCAAGCCTAGAAGAAGAAAACGAATGCACACCCTTGGGAGCCCTGCCTCGACCAAACCGGCCAGTATGAGAGTAGAGAAATGAGCAGTCAGATCGAACCTGTTACTACTACTGTAGTTGAAATCGCGGCTAGCCCTTGATGTTTCAAGGTCGGAGCGAAGATTCGAAACTCTGCCGTAAGTTGTGAGTCGTCTGCCCGCAAGGAAGGATGACGACCAGGAGGGAGGTTTGATTCGCAGAGCGTCGAACAATAGCTCCATGATTAGGTCCCGAGCTATAGGATCATTGTAATGAAGCGAATCAAGGAGAGACCGCAACGGTTGCGAGTCATGTCTTGCAAGGATAACCAGCCCGGGCCAAGTCTTTAGCATGGCAGAAATTGCCCGCGCAGCAGACTTCAATCGCCCACTGCGTAGCGTGTCGGACAATGAATCCGTGAAAGGAGTTAGAACAGCTTCAAGTTCAGATCCTTGGAGAAACTTTCGACTACAAGGGGTGTCCACAACGTGCAGAAAACTTGATATCAGAGACTCCGAGGCGCCGAACGTCCCTTCTGCAAGCGCATCATGCAGAGCAGCAAATCCACCGGCAGAAGCAACAAGTTCGGGATCTTTAACCAACACTTCAGCTAGGGTCATGATTGAGATGTTCCGAAGACGATCTTCATGGTGTTCAGCAACAGCAACGATTGTCCGCACAACGGCGCGTGATACCTCTCGGACACCATCTTTCACATCCAGGAAGCTTCTAACAAACTTCAATGCCTGTTCCCTCTCAATGCTTGCCTTGGATTCTTTAACCAGTGACAAAATGACGAGCTCATCGGTATGGAGCGTTCGGATAATTTGTAGGGATTTGCGATCAGCAATTGCATAGCGTGTTAGTCGATAGCCCGCAGCTACCACCTCTTTACTGTCACTCAAAAGCATGACCTGAACCCGTAGGCCAAAAACAGGCCATGCAAGGTCGTATTTCAATGTGGGATGCCGTTTGAACAATTCAACCAAGCTGTTGGCACGCTCGACATAGAAATCAGGAGACATTCCCTCTATCTCCAACGCCTGCAGCGTTTCCGAGAGGACATAGGTTGGCGACTCCACGTCGCCGTCTTCACTTTCTTCCCCATCGCCGTTGACCGATCCCATAGCATCCCTAGTTCGAGATGGCGAGCGCCTGGGGCTAGCTCGGAAAATACTCGAGAGGCGGCTGCTGCGTGGAGAAGTCGAGGCCGGCGCCTGCGCACGTAATATTTCTTCTTCCAGTTCATGCTGTAATTCGACCAGCTTGCGGTTCGATGAGATCAATTCTGACTCCACCTTTAGACGCTGTTCTTTTGTTTGCTTCAGAGGTTTTGCTAGCAGCGCCTCCAGCATGTTCTCGGTTCCGCTCTTAATCTTCATTTCCTTCGCGATCCTGTCTCGAAGGAAAGCCTGTCGCGCCTCGGTTGTGTGGAAATCTTCTTCGTCAATCGATCGGCTGGCACGTTTATTATATTGTCCGTCCGCCCTGGGCGTGACGCTGCGTGAAGTTGTGCTTTTGAGCTCCGCACTGAAGCTACCTGGCCCACCAGTGGAGGGTACCAACGAGGGAGCTAATGAGGGCACGAATGATCCTCCCCGTCCGGCCATATTGGTGCTCCCTCCAGACTCGGACAGCCTATTCCTCCCAATTCGTGAGATGCCATCCTGCCAGCTCCCATCGGCGGAGCCACCATCCTGACTGAGCGAGGAGCGTCCATCACCCAGCGCACGATGCTGAGTCGACGCAGAGTATGCTGAGTTATGCCCGGAAGCCATAGAGCTCCATCTAGCCTTGCTGGCTCGTTATCATCTATCGCAAGTGTTCTGAGTATTGGATTGCTGCATTGAGGTTGCTTGTTTTCGCAGGAGGGTTGGGCGGAGCGGAGTAAGGGTAGTATGGGGAAGCGTAACGGAGGGGCGCAGTCACAGGTCGCCTGGTGTTCAAAGGTAGCTAGTTGCCATGCCCACCTGTCAAAAGGTTGATTAAATATTTAACTTGAACGCAGCAGTGATCGTCAAACTGTTCTTGTTGTCCCACTACGAGATGCTCGAGTCGACCAGATCTGGAGAAACAAACCGCTGACTAAGTGATCTTATCGCGCCAGCCGTGGAACTCTACGAACACCTTGCCATATTTGAAGAACAGTGTCGGTTGCTACTCCAAGGTGTACTTTTCTAATTGAAGAAAGGTGTTGTTATTCAATAAATATCCAATTAATTTACAATGGAATCCCAAGATCATACATTCTGATTAAACTACCCAGTATACTCCTCTTCCTCCCAGTCTTGCTCATGCTAGTAAAATCGAGTAAGGATCACCTAAAAGGTAGGCACCTTACACCGTTTTCTGTTCATTATTTATTGGAGGTGGTCTTATCCAGGATGGTCTTCATCATCTCATTACCAAGCGTGGCAGCTTCAGGGAAACGCGGTGCGAAGTACTCCGCAATCCGCTCAAATCGGTGACGGTAGGACTCAAAATCTCCGAAAGAAACACAGTCGGACCATGCCTGGTGAAAGCATCATGTTAGCATAAATTGTTGGATCCTGCATGACTCGGACAGATGCCGAGAATAAGTTCCAAAACATACCCTTGCAGCAAAGGTGAATTCCAAATCATCCGAGCGGAAGGTGTTGTCATCAATTGCGGTATCCAGTGCCTCATCGAGGAGATCCTGGTTGCGGAACAAGTATTCGGTCACACCCAACCAGAGACGGAAAAGCTGCACGGTATTAATACAACCGCAATTTGGCAATATCCTCCCCATGACAGGACACATACCGGAGTGGAACAAATCATATGATCATAAGGGACAATGCCGAGTTTCGACCAGCAATCAACAATAGCAAGTAGACTGAGATGGCTGTTCGGGGGTGCCTTTTCACGCGGCCGATTGGATAGAGAGAACCGATCCAGTACCTCGTCCTTCAACAACAGATCTTGTCCTTCGGAGCCAGGCCTGAAAACCGACGCACCTGCAGCCTTGACCCGGCGCTTGAGCTCTTCCCTCTGTCCTCCAATCATCAGTTTGTACAAGTCGGTGACCGACTCGGCGTACTGGCGAATCTGTTGCTTCGCCGCTGGGTTGAGGATGGCAAGCCCGGCATAGACGTGCCATTTGTTGGAGTAGATACGCAAGGTGATATTGATCTTGACATTCTCAATACCGCCCACCCATCGTCCATGCTCCCAGGGGAACTGATTGTTAGCCTGCCAGGCAGTTCCCATGCTCAGGAAAGCAGCATGAGTGACGGCCTGTGTATCCGCTGTGATTCGGTCGTGCATCTCGCCGGTGAGATAGACATGCTTGGATTTGAATGAGGAGAGGATGCTTTCAACGAATTTGAGACTTTCGTCTGAGGCTCTGTGTTGAATGAGGACCTAGATTGCCGCGTTACTAATGCGTGTTCGAAATAGAGTGGAATTCGGGATGGAGGTTAGCAATACCAGAGGCTGGCCTTGCGGATTCACTTTAGGGCCGTGTAGCGAATGGCAAGATACAATCTCTACGTCGGACGGCAAGTGCTTTTCGAATGCGGCGAGTTCTGGGGCCTTGCAGGACGTTTGACCACCGACAACGGCACCGACCTTGGTTGCTTGAATTCGAGTCAGAATGTATTTTGGGTTAGAAGCAGACTATCGGGTCTGATTCAACACATACACAATCCATACTGCGCCACGACTTTGTCGATAGCTCCAGCCTCTACACTGTACAGAATGTAATCGCTAATTCTTGAGACAAGATGTCCATTGGGGAATATGGTGACTCTTTTCTATATGTACAATGAGCTTCTTAAGCTTTGAGTGGCATAATCCCAGCCGGGTGACGTACTTGAGAAGCGAACTCTTGTTTTAAAGATTCAAAATTCTCAGGTCTATCACACGCGTTTATCCTTGATTTCAAAAGTGCAGAGTTAGTTGTGTCAGTTATAAAGGATTGGTTAAGAGCATTGATGCAAATCTGTATAATCTATTCACTTGTTAGTGTATGTTTTGCAAACAGCAAAGTGAAGGTAGGTAGAGTGAGGTGGAACAGGATCAGACAAAAAAGTTAAGGTAGCGTGGGTTTAACATCACCGACAGCCAGCTGGTTAGCCATCAACCAGAATGGTGTAACAGCGCCAGCCAAACCGTACTCGAGCCAAATGCACTCATGTCATCATTCGAGAGGATGGGCGGTGAAAGGAGAAGGGAGAAAAGCTTACCATTTAAAGCACATTGGGAACGTGTTGTTGAAGGGACCAATTACCTCCATCCTGCGTCGCTCAGGCGCTGGGCATACATTTTGCCCATATCACCCATACCAATGATGCCAATCGAGGCATCTTCTTTGGTGCGACCCATTGCGACAAGCGCGCCTAGACCTTGTGGATAATCAGGTGTGACACTTAAAATCAGTTACACTGATAAGCATTTCAGCTCCAAAACTCGAACGCTGCTCAAGTTAGGGAAGTTCAATTGCGATGTTGGAGGAAACCAAGATGGGCGAACGAAAAGATTTAAATACTGCGCTGAGCTTGGAGCTTCACCGCCCACCGGGCCGACCGGAAACCCGGGTGTGAATGTGGTATCCAAAGCCTGAGGCAGCCAGCTCGCTTGACGCTGCGAACCAATCACAGTGCGTAATTCTTCCTAGGGCACACACCCACTTTTTTCTTCAACATCTAGGTGGGATTAGATCCGGCTTTTCCTTCTTTTCTGTATTCCATCCACACTAACCACCAACAACAGTCGCAATGGCCCCCAAGACCAAGGCTCCCGCTGCCGCTAAGGAGAACGTCTCCCTCGGCCCCCTCGCCGGTGATGGTATGTTTTGAACACAATTCAAGATGAAGCAGTCGGAGAACATGAGATCTGACTCTCTACGCAGGCAAGCTCGTCTTCGGCGTTGCCCGCATCTTCGCCTCCTTCAACGATACCTTCGTCCACGTTACCGATCTTTCGTGAGTCGCCCCCCCATTCAAAATTCTGTCCGATTCGAATCTTCCAGTCTGAATTGAAATCGGGCGCAATTCCATCCAAATAAAACACAAAAAAGAACGATGTTGGCTGACAATTGATTACAGCGGTCGCGAAACCATCTGCCGTGTTACCGGTGGTATGAAGGTCAAGGCTGACCGTGACGAGTCCTCCCCCTACGCCGCCATGTTGGCTGCTCAGGACGTCGCTGTCCGCTGCAAGGAGCTCGGCATCAACGCCCTCCACATTAAGATCCGTGCCACTGGTGGTAACGGCACCAAGACCCCCGGTCCTGGTGCCCAGTCCGCTCTCCGTGCCCTTGCCCGCTCCGGCATGCGCATCGGTCGCATTGAGGACGTTACCCCCACCCCCTCCGACTCTACTCGTCGCAAGGGTGGTCGCCGTGGTCGCCGTCTGTGAGCGTGTGCGGCTTGGTCTTTCCCTTCCCCTTGCAAGTCACTGCATCGCTGGATTGGAGGCTATTTGCGGGCTTCTCTCCTGCATCTGTGGATGGAATAAACGCGAGGAACGGCCTTGATTGCCTGGTCTTCAATTTTTTTCATACGCTGAAAATCAATTCTCTCGGGTTTTGATGTTGGATTAGGTAGTGCTCAATCAACAACTTGCCCAAAAAAATCTTTGAAATTTTTTTTGAAAAAAGGCTCCTGATGAGCTCAATTGAAAAATGGTAGTCGTAGCACATCTGGAGATTTGAGGCCTGTAAGCTACTGTTGGGCCCTGTGGGAGGCGCATGGGCTGGCGGTTTGCACGTCATGTTGATGAGATGTGCAGATGGTTGATCCTGTACTTCCCTTGGACTTGATGCTTGTAAAACGAATTAAGACATTTTAGCAACAATACAAAGTCCAGTTCTATGATGTTCTACAGGGTATCAAGAAGATCCAAGACAAGGTGCTAAGAACCCCAAAAAATCGCCTCCATGGATTGAAAGATAGAACAGCATCTCTCCGGCAACTGTCACCTCTAGCTTTCCATCCGTCCTCAAAGCTCCAACCTGCGCGCAATCAACCCCCAACTCGCAAAAAAAAAAATTTAAATAAATCGGACAGCGGGTGCAATGTTCACCCACCAGCCAACCCCAACAATCCTTCTCCCGGAACTTCCGTCCAAAACCCTCGTCGGCATCGACCTCATTACCTTCACATCAACCCCCAACTTCCACGGAATTCGCGACCTTTCCCCGGGATGGCACTTCCTTTACACCGGTGCAACAGAGACCCTCTCTTTGCGCAGCGGCGCATGGTTTTACATCGGTGACATCACCACCGCGGGGAAAGGGAGCAACGACACCGCGCTCATTGCACAAGGCCAAAACAGAAACCAAATCCAAAATGCACTGGGCCCAGAGATCTACATCTGGAAATGGAGCGCGAATACCGAGTCCCTAGTAGCTCTGGACCATGACAACGACTCCGTCCGCCAGGAGAGCTTGCGCTACAAAGCGAATCTGGGTTCTGTGTGGCAGAGTGGAGGATTATTCAAGTATCGCAGCCGGATTGCACCATCACTGCTTGTCAAGCCCGTGGTGGAATCCGAGCCCGGCGAACAACACGAGAACGACCAAGCCAAACCCCAGATCGAAGCTCGCATCCAGACCGAAGACGATGCGCAAACCGAAGAGAATGGGCGGAGGGATTGGTCTGGTCTGACCGACCGCATCTCACCGAGCCTTTTATCGCGCGTCGTTGGAGACCCGGAACTTGATGTGGACGGTCATCCGCGATGGGCACTGTCATCTGCATCCACGGCCAACCGCGACGCGGATCGTATCCCCGGCGTCGACTCGCCAGCCGAGTCCAAAGGAAGTGAGGAAGCGGAACGCGAATTCGGCTTCATCCCGGTTGATTTGAAGCGGACATGGAGAGAAGGTGCCGTGGGGCGCGAAAGGACTGAAGCTGCGCAGGATCGGTCTTGGGCTCTGGGAGACTTGATCGATCGGTATGCTGGGGAGGCTTCGGGGGGGAATCAATTGCTTGGGGAGCTGCAGTTTACGTTCCTCATGGTCTTGACTATGATGAACTACTCGTGTTTGCAGCAGTGGAAGCGGCTTCTTGACCTGATTCTTACGTCACGGAGTGCCATATTGGATAGAGAGGGGTTTATGAGTGAAGTCCTTCGAATCTTGTCGTTGCAGCTGCAGCGATGTGACGATGTTGATGGGGGACTGTTTGAGATTGATGGTGATGAGGGCGGGGCTTTCTTGCGCAATCTACTTGTGAAGCTGCGTCAGTCGGTCGATGACCTCGTTGGTGAGACTGCATCGGAAGTTAAACTCGAGCTTGATAAGCTTGAAGAGTGGGTGAAGGCAGAATATGACTGGGAGCTGCGTCGTGGGACTGTCGTTCGCCACGGTATGCTCCAATTGGAGGACGGTGAGCAGGTCGAAATGGACTGGGATGGGAATGACGAAGACGATGAGACTGGAGAGTACGCTCCAGTGATTGTTGATATGTGAGACGCGAGGCTAGGGCATTCCATCCTGTTCTGTTTCTACGCACGCATGCAATTTGCCCATGAAAGATGCCAAGTTGTTGATGATTGCTTTGACATCCAGTTCTTAAATGCATTTCCCGGCGTTTGGGCATATTCTGCAAATTTGTTATCTATTTAAACATGACACACATCCAACGAAACAAGCCAGTATTTTATGAATACGTCTAAATCTATATACAGTCTATCTAAAATCTACATACAAACCAACTCTTGCATCAAAATACCGACCACGCTGCTTAGCTTCATAAATCCGTTTCACAAGCATCCAAGACCAACCCGCTTGCGAGTATTCAGTCCAAGGCCATCTATGAGTCTTGAATCCATCTATTGTCCCTCGTTCTCGATGGTGTAAGCCCACTCGTGCTCAACTTTGCCAAACATGATGGCCTCGAGCCACGACTTGATCTGCGCGGCATATCCAGCAGGCTCGCCGTTCACACCCAAGGTGCTGATATCGGTGTCTTCGTTGCGGATCATGGCAACAGGGGTAATGAAGTACTACGAGATGTGTGATGTTAGCCCATCAACCCCGACAAGGAAAGGGGAAATTTTTCCAACTTACAGCAGTGCCCGAAACAAACGACTCAACAATCCGGCCCTCCCTGGACGCCTTCTCAATATCATCAATAGTCAATGTGCGCTCCACAACGTCAAGCGGCGCAAGCTCGCCAACACCGTTCTGCGACAAACGCTCGCGCACGAGCTCCAGAACACTGCGACGGGTAACACCGGGCAGAATCAGCTGATTGTCAAGCGGAGCCGTGACAAGCTCCAGCTTGCCTTCGGTGTTGTGCCAGACAATGAAGAAGTTGCTGGCACCGGCCTCAGTGACCTGACGGTCCGGTCCGAACAACCACAAGATCTGATCGAAGCCCAGAGCCTGCGCCTTGCCATGAGCCTGCAGGGAAGGGCCGTAGTTCGCCCCGAGCTTGGCATAACCGAAGCCGCCGGGCCAGGCGCGGATGGTATCTGGGGCAGAGGCGTACAGTCTGAGGCCCTTGCGGGGCTCGGCTTCGGGGTCCGTCTTCATCTTGGTGAAGTCGGGCCAGGGAACGGCAATAATGAAGAGGAGGGCTTCCTTGGGCACTTGGACACCCAGGTGGGGACCATTGCCGATCACTGTGGGACGGATGTAGAGGAAAGAACCGGGGTTGGGGAGCCAGCCTGGATATCATTGTTAGTGAACAGCTCGCATCTGTCTGGGGGGGTGTCGTGGGGTCTTGGAACGTACGAGGACCGTCGATCTGCAGCAACTTGGCGACCAGCTTCTTCACCTCGTCGAACTTAAATCCGGGCAGTGAGGACCGCTGGGAACTGGAGTTCAAACGCTCGCCGTTGCAATCGGGGCGGAACAGGCGCAGCTTGCCGTCGTACCCGCGGTATACCTTCATGCCCTCGAAACATTCGGTTGCATAGTGCAGGACCGAGGCTGTGGGAGGAATGCTGAGGTTCTGGTAGGGCTTGACCTCGGGGGTCTCCCAGCCCTTGGCTACAGTCCATTTCACGGTCACCATGTGATCAGTGCAGTAGGAGTGGCTCAGCTCCTCTGGGGATCCTGGCAAAGGCACATCGCGCAGGTTGGTTGAGAGAGTGACATTGAACTTGGAGCCATCCAGCTCGGCATACGGAGCGATAGAACCCATGATGAGGCGATTGTGGTTGATCAAGGTTCTGTCCTTGAATCTCAAGAAGATGAGGTTCTATGAGTCACTCGACGGTCAACCGATGATCTTCGAGGAAAAAATGACAGCTGGGATACACTTACCGTTTTAAAATATCGATTTCACACAATAGAACTCCCATTGCTCTTTTTATAACGAGCGGTTTGCCCCGGAGAACCCTTGGCTTTCCCGGAACCGTCTTTGAACCAAAAAAAAAAAAGATTTTTTAACGCCAACCCGATTCCGGCCCTATCTCTGTTTGCCACCAGATTCTTTTTTATGCACACATACAACAATGCTGTATGTGTTGAAAAGGGATTGTTCTTTTGAACCTATTAACCCCTCCAATTCCAGTCGAACTCGCCCTACATTCTCCTATGAGCATATCACTGGTCCCATAGTCGCTATCTACGGCCCACTTCGAGCAGTTCCGAGGCTAGCCGCGTTGACCTGGATGGAATGGATGGCAGCTCCGTGCAAGATTGCATAGCCAAAGTTGATGTTCTACATTATCGAATTTCATTTCTGATCATTGGGGCCCACATTGCTGATTGGGACTGCAGTACTCCGTATTCAGATTTGCGGTAGATAATACACAAGGGGCAATCCTAGCGTACGGAATTTGGATCTGCCATAGAGACAATTGACCAGACATGGCAAATCAAGGCCATTGTCGAGCACCTTGCGGACGATATCTTGGAACCCAATCCCCGCCAATCAGAGCCGCTGAACGTAATTTCCGGCCATGTTGTACAATGCAGGATGAACACATAGACGACCACCCATCTTGAATTCGAACCATCACAATAACCAACTGAGGCTAACTCAGGAGTTGGCTTCACCGAAAATCGATGATTTAGCTGAGGACGCCGTACGGAGTGCCATGATGTTGTACAACATCAATGTTACACAACACGACGATTGTCGACCGTTAGAATCGTGCCAAGCGCCCAAGCTGCAGGTCAAATTCGGCCAAGGAACAAGCTCATGCCTTCTTCATTCACAATCTCTCATGGATGGGAAAGTCGTAAGATCACAGATTTCCAGTCTCATTCGGAAATCCCGAAGAATCTCCGACTCTGGGAGTCGGGTCGGAGGATCTCTCTCCGACCGTTCATACTTGACCCCAACAGCAAAAGGTTGGGAGTGAGATCATGCACCTTGGAAACCCCAGTCAGCGGGGATCTAGATATCATCCACGGTCGGCTGGTTGTAACGCGCTGGTTGAGAAGTTTGGATGGTGTTTCTTTCCTCGGTTGCCGTCAGTCGGGTTCAGGACTACTCTGGCCGTCGATTATCCGTATCGGGCCCGGTATTCTTGTGATGATGAGTCCAAGAGTCATCACGATCGAGCGTCGCAAGGCATGGCTGGGCGATCGCATTGAAACGCAAGACGACCTTGGCATGGATTCAAAGCGGAGTCAACGCTGGTCGCCGAGGCAACAGCGATGTACAACAGAGAGAGAGAGAGCCAAACCCAGCCTCTTCTGGGTTGCAATCCTCGGAGAATGTTGTCTTGAACGTGACGATGGCGCTTTTCAGTCCAAACACAGCGAACTGTATAGATATTTGGGATATCGCTTAAGAGCAATGGTTCGAAAAGTGCTCTGGGTACTTGCTAAGTACTTCGTGTGTCAAGGTACAACGCTTTGGTTTGATAACTGTGACTCGACTTGGGACTTGCAAGACCGAATCCTTGGTCAGATTGAAAAGCTCACAAAAATGACATCGGTACTGACGAAGAAAACCACCGAATCACACGCCCTCTGAACAAAATTGAAATGGGAATCGTCGGCGTAAATTCTTTTAGATTGTGTGACTTGACTACAACAATATGCATGTTGATAGAAATAGCCTTTGACTCCGACACTGGTAGGTTCTTCAGTCGATAGGTCATAGATAATATAACCAACGGAGGGGGAAAAAAAAAAAGAGAGATGAACAATGAAAATCGATCTCTACTACCGATGACGAAGAGCGAGAAAGGAAAAGAGGGAGACGGCAAGTGAAAATTCTCTAGAAGGAGCAACGAAGGGACAATTGTACGTTGGGTAACGCATGAAAGAAGAACGAGGCAAGTGACGCGATTGACGACGTAAATTTCCCCCTCATTCGATTTTACAGATATTTCTCTAGTTGTGTTGAACAGGAAAAAGGTGCCCCCTGACTCACCTCATCCTGAATCGGGCTCATGGCGTGGGGGGGGGGGGGGGGGTCGTTCTGTCTTCGAAACTGACAGGCCATTTTGCTGAAGAGGGCAAAAACAAGAAGCAGGGCATGAACTCGGCATCAATGATAGTCTGCATTCAGAAGACGGTCTATTGATTTGGGAGAGAAGGGAGACAAGACCAAACGAACACCTATCATACATCGATCACAGTTTGTCCAACCGGTCGGCAGTTATCACCCCCCACGAGGTCTGGAATATACTTGCCGAGGCATGATCTACCAGTTTCAAGGATGATGCTTCTCTGATGTGACAGATCTCAAGTCAATAGGGTAGACTGGCCACTGACCTGTGCATATGCCGCCAGCATCGCTTGTTGGCATCCGACGATTGGACACAGAACCGACCAGGTTACAACCAAAGGGGATTGTCCTGAATCAATGCCCAAAGACCGAGCGCAGTAAGATATGGCGCATGTGATCAGCGAAGTCTTGTTTGCCTCGTCGTGCGTGCCCCTGGCTGTTCTTACCCAAAAAAAAAAAAAGGAACGAAAAAGAACAAACATGGCTGGTGGACTCTGTATCTAGTACTTCGTATACAGGACGTAGAATGGCAGGTGTCAGAAGCCGATTCGGTGGAGATATGCACAAGCTGGGGCTTCTGAGGTCGACACGGCAAAACCTGGACGATTCAAAGACCCCGTTCCAGCTGCAATGCACAAACGGGCCGTGATTCTCTGAAAGTCATTAAAAAAAAATCCCGGAAATTTAAGTGAGAGAAGCTAGTGTCTATCATCACTGTAGATCAGGATTCCGGACTTCGTGCAGGATAAATCTGTGGTCAGTTGAACTGCAGATTCCAAGTCATTGGTATACTTGCACATCCAGCACCTCGAGCATATAAGCACGGGGCACAAGGTGACCATTGACGGTGAAAACCTCTGACCAACCATATAGAGATCTGGCTGTTTTATCCGAACTTGAGAAATGACCTCAACTTAAATCCATCGACAGAATTTGTACACCCCGTAGAAGGGATCAAGAGGGGAAGGGGAGAGAGGGTGCGGAGGCAGATCCAACCACATCGAGATAAGCACATGCACATCGATTTGAAAGCCGCCTGGCCCCAAAGGTTCAAATCGGGAACTACCGAGCGTCGCAGCAAACCGATAGGGGGAACTGCGTTTTGATTGTTCTGCGTCACGCTACGTCTGTTTTTGGCAGGAGTCTTCTTCTATAAAGGCGAAGGGGCGTTCATCACACATGCAGGTGATCAAGATTCATCGCCCACGTTACATGGCAGACCATTTTTACACATCCAGATACTGTACGTGGTTTGCAGGGATATGGGAAACGCAGTTGTTGGAAAATCAAGGCCCCAGATACGGGAGGAAAGAGGGGAATCTCAGCCGCAGAGTCGAGCTCACTGGCTCCTGATCCCGAGCATCTACGCAGGGTGGGAACTTATCATGCGGGGAGGGGGGGAGATACTCGGTACATCAAATGTGTTTTGAGCTTGCAACAACCTCAAGCGATAGAAGGTCAAAGAATCCAGCCCAAGGTCAGGCCTAATCTCCTTGAATTTCAGTTGGACTGGGCGTGTAAGCGGCAGCACGCGACGCTAGCATGTATAGTTCATCCAAGCTAAAGGTCACTAACTTTGCTTTTCTTATTTTTAGGTTCTTTTTCTCTTTCTCTGTTTCTTCGCCTCCACTTAGGCACCCAACTTGTAAGATTAGTCGAAATGGCCCGAAAATCGGTATGAACCGTGCCGGGGTAAGGACGCTCATTCGGAGTTGTCGCGATGGGAAAGGTGTCCACACAAGATTCACGATCCGATTTACAGAGGTGAAGTGTGAGAGAGACATTCGAACCTTGAAATGTTGCCCCGGTACCCCGGTGGCTCTATGTGGCTGACATCACCAGTGCAGTCTTGCCCGCAAGATTTATAGCAGGCCAGTTGCTTGAGATTTGGCGTAAACGGACCGAAGGCCAAAAAGAGCATAAATTTGATTTTTTTTTGAATTTTTTTCCTCTGGCAGTTCCGATTGGCTGTTATTTAAACCGCCAATGAGAAGCGTTGGAAGAAGTTGGGTGGGATGTATCAAGCACATGGGGCAGGGTGGACTTGGGAGCAAGACTCTATCGAATCATCGGGACTGGATCATGGGAGGATCCAGCAAAGATAGAGATAGCAAACTATACTCACGAATGACATTTGAGAGGGATTGGTAGATCCGGTTCTGAGGTGGAGGTTTACGATGCGCCTTCTTCCCCCTGACTGCAAAGTCCGATTTGATCCACAGCGGAAAAGACTTTGGAACGGGACAAGGTTCCCAGATCCTCCTTCGACGGAGTAGGCCGACACTACGGAGTACACATTATGGATGATCTAGTTACTCTGTGTCCACTTCATCAAGTACCGAGTACCACAGTGTTTAGCAGCACACTCGTGGTCGTCCCTTCAACCGATATGCTGGAATTTTTGGGTTCCCCTGGGGGTAAACTTGCCCTTTGGATTATTTCCCTGACCCTCTTCCAGGTTGAAATCCACATTTTATCCTACAGCGAAGGCGGCAGGTGAGGTGGGTGTGGCTTTTTAGGGAACCGAGGGATATTCTCCACAATTGCATCCTAGAATATACAATCTGGATGAGATCCATTGATGGATGGAGAAAAAAAAGGTGAAAGGTGGCGAGAAACGTGGAGGTTCTGGAGATGTGCCGGACGTCATGAGTTTCCTATACAAAGTCACGATCACTCCGGCTATATATTAAATACATTCTGGGACTGTGCATAGATCAGGTTTGCAGGAGCCGTATATCTGGATGACCGGATCCCAATCTTTTGGCAAGAGAGTGAATCAGACAAACAATCAAGGGCGAAAGTAGATTTAGACTTTGATAGGCAAGGGCAGGAGATAAGTAGAAGAAGCAAAGAAGCAAAGAAGCATGATAATGAAATCCTCACAATCTTCCGAGTACCACAGAGGCATGCTTTCCGAGAAGGTATCCCCATACGTTGTAGAGATTGCTTACTGACGCCCTAAAAAGTACCTCTTTTGGAGCTCCGTGTTGATACATCTCCCTACAGGGTGAAGGACGTCTTTTATTTTTATTTCATTTTTATTTTATAATTTATTTTTTTACCATTTCTGTTCTTTTCGGATGCTCTTTAATTTTCTATTCGCTCCTTCCATTTTTGAGAATTTGGCATGTCGTGCGTTCTAAAGTTCGTTCAATCGGGCCCCCTAGGTTTCCATATTCGGGCCCTCGATCTCCCGAATCGCTCTTGACAATATCTCTCCGGCTACACTCGATCCCATGGCCCCTTAACCATCTGCTGCATATCATCGGCTTTGATGATAAAAAAAGGTTGCTGAGTTGGCTAGTTCTCTAATCACTGGATTCGAGCTTGGCCCACTGGGTTACCCCGGTTGTGTGACGGGCATCGAACCTCTTCTGTTTGCCAAACGCGGACCCCTCGCTTTGGGATCTTGTCACCTGCAGGACTTTGATCGCTTCGACCGATTCCAGAATAGTTTCTTTTGGTTGTGTCCCACCTTCATGCGTAAATAACGCACCGCACCGTGACGCCCGGATCATTGCGACATGACATTTACCCCCTTTCTGACATTGTACTGGTGAGACGTTGGAGACGTCAATTTCGATGGCCCATAAGAGGAAGCATTAGGACCGTGGCCCAGTGTTGTATATAGGATCGTTTGCCTGCACCATTCGGGGGAGGAAGGGAAGGAAAACAGTCACTAGCAAGCGTTGCTTCATTAACATATTCGTATAGCCGCCGAAGCTTCAACCACGGTTTATTCCGGTCAGAAATCTCGAAACACAAATTTTGAAGACTGGTTTTTTTGAAAAATGAAGATGAGCTCTCACGAGAACCCGAAACAATTTCCCGCGTTGGCTCCAGGACCGCGGCGCATGTTCGCTCCGCAGATGTCGACTGCTGTCAGTAGGCCAAAGAAGAATTCCACAGCTTGCCTAGCATGCAAAGCAGCAAAGAGGAAGGTGAATCGGTGCACCAGTTGATCTTTGATTTTCCCCTCTCTTCCTCTCTCTCTCTCTCTCTCTCTCTC